GCGCTTGAATTTTCAGAACCGGGCTCTTCCTAATTTGCATAATCCGTAATCGGCCCGTGGGCATTACGGGAGAATAATGCCCTACAATTCAGTGGCAATTAACCAATCAGAGCGCGCGTTATATCGGCCACAAGCCAAAGCCATATAATAAGTTATGCTTAACCATTTAGCTAGACTGTTCGATCTAGCTCCTCTCGGTTTATATCCCGGGGGTACTCCCAGAAAAATTGGGTGGGGGTGTGCGACCCGCTTCCCAAAACCCTTACCCTATTTATGACCAAAATCTGCGATTTTCCCTACCCTGTTCATGACCTGACCTGACCAAAAATTCGCTACCCTATTTATGAACGTTGCGGCTGACACAGTTGCTCAAAACATAATTTATGAAGGGCTTTTGTCGATGGTCTTATCCGTCGATAATGATGGAAAAGTAGCTTCTTCTAAAAAAACACACTTAATTCAAGACCAGAGTGCAAAAACCATACCCTACTTTTGACCAAAATGGCCAAAGTCGATACCCTATTTATGACCAAAACGGCTGAAAAACCATACCCTTCGGGGCCGCTCATACCTATATAGCACATATAAGGGAGTACCCCGCCCCCGGGGGCGTTGTATCTTGGTGTTGTCAGCTGACTCTCATTAGCACAAAATTTCATTTTATTTCTGAGTTTCTTCAAAGTTACGGTTCAGACTGAGAAGACAAAAACTTGGCGGTGTTTAACACTTTGAGGTTCCCCAACAATACTCCGGCCGCTGCGCGTCGTGTTTCATTTTTCTTCTCTTTTCTCGGTTTTTGGAAATGTGATGAGGCACTGCCTCTTATTTTTGATATACTTCTTCAAAAGAATTCCTGCATCATGTGGGTTTAGCAACGCTTGGGAACAATTTTGAAGAAACTTTTTGGGACGTTCCTTTAGCTTCCTTATCCTTTTGCGTATTCAGCACAACTAAGAATCGGAGTCATTGAGTATCATTGTAGACGTTAATCGGCCTAAAATCTACCTCGCGTTTGAACAAGAGGAGGCATGTGTGGCTGAAAGGGAGTGGCTAAAAGTGGCTGAAGAATACAGAAGAGTGCACCGCTGTTGGCCTCATGTAAGGGAAGAGAAGTATGAAGGAACAGGGAGGTTACGGTTGTTAGGGTTTCCAGCATTTTAGTTACCGAAGAACTCGGCTGGCAAAATCTCTTCTTTCTAGTCTCTCTTTTAAACTAGACAAATGGTACGAAAATTTCCCCCGAACGTTTCCGTAGAATGCGAAAGTTATACTTCAGAAATGCGAACTTCCGTTTATTCTGGGAGGAAAATTAAATAGACGGAAATTCCCGGTCAGAAATTCTCGCAAATTTGGCTATACCTCGCGAGGTTGTCCTCTTTCCCTACAATTTCGGAAAATGGTGTTCCAGTCGCCCATCTGGTAAAATGGAGTCACAAAATCGACAGTTCTGAGGCACTGAACCCTGGCAGCAGGGTAGCAAGCATATAGCAAGTGATAGTTTAGCAGAGCTAGTGTTAGTAAACTGTAACAAATGAGTAAAAAGACGAACTGTTCTCAGACAAAGGAAGCTTTCGTTTATTCACCAACATTACTATTAATATTCGTAGGAGAAAGCAGGTACGAGAGGATAAGGGCTCAGTTTCCAGCAATGAGTGGTTGGGTGCACCTGCAATCCTCTCCAGCATACCACCGGATACCAGTAAATGCAATATCTTGAGGGATTTCAAAGCCTCTCAAAGTTTTTTTTTTCATACTAGCTACTGTGTTTTTCAAGGGGGAAGGACCATAAAGTATGTCTTTTGTCACTACCATCAATAGGTCACTAGTCACAGACCTGGGTGTTTGGGTGCACTCGTGATACTCTGCAGGATCGAACACCCACAGCTGGAAACTGACACTAGATAGGATCGTGAAAACTTGTAGTTATTAACTTTGTTCAAAAAATATATTAAATACATGTCACAACTATCAAAAGCCATTACAATATTTGGACTGAAAGCTAGCGTTAGTTCTTTTCCCTGAGTCTAGGAAGGAAAATACTTGACAAATAAAAGCCACTTTCCTTTTAAAGTAACAGAGTACAGCATCGTAATATAACAATCAGTTATGCTGTATTTAATGTACTTACATGTACTCGTAAAAGCGTTTAGGCGAGGATAGTTTCAAGTGTGTTACATTCACTAGCATGTAATGCAATAGATCCAACTCGCTTTAGAGGCACATTACAGAGGAGCAACATGACTAAAATTGTTGCAGGTAATCCAAGGGGCACCAGTAAATGCAATATAGGAGACTTCAAAGCCTCTCAGTGGCGTTTTGTCATACCAGCTATTGTGTTTCTCAGGGGAACAGGACAATGAAAGATGTCCCTTGTCACTACCATCACTTCGTCTTTACCGTAGTGAGGCTGTCACTGCAAAGTTCACTCTGGTTTTTTGCTTGTCAGAAATTGCTTGCAATAAGCTTGAAGTATACTCAGCAGATTTCTGCACTAAGAGAGTAATTAAGGGCGGGTAATTTGAATCAAACACTTCAGCATCATGTACAAGTAAATATCTCTTACAATAATTTTGACAAAAGTTTATATACAAGAGATAAAGGCAAATAATGATGGACTACAAAGGAAGAGGTAGACTCTTCACTTCTGAGAGACACTCATTGTAGTTCTCCTGGAAATCTTCATGGAACTTCACCAATACTATACTTGTGGGTCGTCTGGATTGACTTGCAGCTCCTAGGTCCTGGAATACAAATTTAATCACACTATCAGACTTACTGTCCACTTCAGGGGTTGAAAAGTTTTAATCATGAATAATCAATAATATAATCTCTCCAGATAATTTCTCAAACTCAGTAATTATGAGTTAATACAATTCATCAATAATTAATTACTTTAAACAAAGGAAATCCTGATCGTGACAGTTTTTGGATATCTTATCTTAATCAGCATAGATATTCACAATTTTATCTCTCCATTTTCTCTTTTTAAATTTGATTGAGGACATACATTGTATACATGTATCAAATACTCAGGACATTGTTTGACCACATTTCTAAACACCTCAAAGTTTGAGAAAAACACTCTGCTACCCATTGTATTTTCAACTCTTTTCTTGGTGTTTGGAAATGTGGTTGAACAAGGTCTTTTGTGTTTGATATATTACATCAATGCACTGCTAAACAGACTTGGAACCAGTATAAAGCATGAGAAGAAAATGGCATACTTTGAGAAAGAAATCCACACTCCCCAGATAGGAATCAAACTTAAAACCTTCTAGTTACTAGCCCCAATGCTCTACCACTGAGCTACAGGAGACTTGTGGGAGCTAAGGCCATTAAACTAGGTTCAAATGACAAACTTCCTGCATTCTGCTAGGAGTGGAAAGCCAATACATTGCAGACTTGTAGTGATAATAAATGACTTTACCAACTGCTGATACTCCTGGGCTCAACAGTCAAATCATCCATACATGTAGGTCTAACACCCTTTTGTGAGGTGTCACAAAATTAGCAGAGATTCAACTCTCATTAGGCTAGTTGTATGCGCTTGCATAAAACAGCCATTAATTCTTTCTAATCTTTACTCAGTCATTAACAGACAGATGTAACACATGAGATAAATAACCATCTAGGAGACAGAAAAGTTTATACATTACTTACAAATTTGGAAGGCACATAGGCATATGGAACTTTGTTATCTTCACAGGCCACAGGAATGTGAGATATTACATCAATGGGAGAAACATCACCAGCGATGACCACAAAACTAAGGGACATAACATGTAACTGGGAGTTCAAACACAGTTTAAAATGTTATGACTAAACTTATTCAGTATGTACAACAGCCCATTTATCATTGATAACAGAAGAAACATCTAGCTAGCAAGAGAGACTCGGAAGAATGGTCAGTCACAAGTTATTTGATATTAAATAATTTCCAAGTTCTCCTAAAAGGAGATGGACCCATGATCTTCTGCTACAGAAGACTCATGAAAGGCAGTCTACACAACTTGGTTTAAATGTGATAAACATAGATCCACATACAGCAGTACTGTCAAGATTTTTCCTATCAAAGATTCATAATACTGTTTATGGAACAACACAAAAAATTGCTTCCAAATTTTTGGGAAGAGCTGGAGAGATAGATACTTTCTGTTTTATTATTTTTTGTGATCTTTTTATTATTTTAATTATATTTTATTTTTTATTTTATTTTTTAGATCACATGCTTACCCTTTCTCTCCTTTCCGCAAGGCTTTAGCTACCTCCTTGACACCTCTTCTTGAGCTCTTAGACTTGGAAGCTATAGTAAAGCAATCCAGACTTGTTAACAATAGTAAGAGCTTTTCAGAAAGTTGAATATATATTTATTATTCAAACTAACCCACATATCCCATCTAGGCCTAAAAATAAATTATGCATTTTTCACCTTTTTGTGTAAACTTTTCTACATGTAATTTTTCTGCAAATTATCTTAAACAAATTGATGAACCTTTACATGTACCTCAAGAGTTTCAGGGATGACTTGTAAGTTATACATTTAACAAGAAGATCTGCTAGATCTTATAACCGCGCTGTTAAAATTTAACTGTTTTCTTAGCACTACAGTCGCAACGCAATGTACATTCCAAAGCAATCCTTGATGATTCATTGATTACTGTAGACACCACATTACTTGATCAACACAAACTGTATTATTGCACCATCAGTCGTAGCCGTTGTGAAATCTCCGATGACGTAATAGTCTTAATCTGGAACTTTCTTCGGGATATGTATGGGCATGAAGATACGAACGCTATTAACAACAGCTTTCTTAAGAGTCAAAATTAAATTTAATCATTTTTTCCCCTGAGTAAAGGGCTAGCAAAGAAGTCACACAAGTCACATAATTGAAGAATTGCGTTATCCACAGCTATCTTTAGTACGGTGGTTATTTCCCTACCAATGACATAATCCTTGCATGTTCTGACAAGTTCTTTGGTTGGCTTGCACATATTTAATTTTCCTTCCGATCTATGAACTTGCTGTGATGAAACAGCCAAAGAATTTACTTCATTGCCTAAAACCACAAGAAATACTCGCAAAATTACAAATAAATTAATGACCGTTGCTTCTCGCCAAATAAACTTGCAAACTAAACACGATCTTATTTGTCACGTAGCGAAAGTGAAAGCTGCAACGTCAACGCATTCCATGGCTGACGTAATACCATTTTTTTAGCGTATTTATTATTCCCTTTGAATCCAATGCTTTGATAAAACGAAAAGAAAATATATTTTACCCACAAAAAAGAAAACAATATCCATAAAATTGTCTGTGTATTTATGTTTAACAGCTTCTGGCGGAAAAAATCACACGTTGCGTGACTCAAAATCTGGCCGAGAGGGAGCTTGGGTCTGGTCACCGACAAAAAAAAAAAA